AAACAATGTCGAACAATATCTATCTGAATATACATGTAGGTAACAAGCTGATTAAGGTATAAGGCATTGACTTACTAATGGTTTCTTTTAACATGTTTAAACACAAATTATGGCATGTTTCTACAATTATTATTTTTTCTATTTTGTTTGTTCAATAGAAAATAAAGAATCTTCCATATAGACGGGTTTATCTATAATTGACCTAGAAAACATGGGCGCATCCATTAACCTCTCACGTGACCAATCCGCCATTACAACCGTGAAAAATAATGCACGTGTATTGATCAAAACATTATCGATTTTCTGCTTACATTTGTATTTTCTTCATTTTCTTATTCATTTCACTATGGATACTGCCGAAAGTTATAAAAAAAAGGTGGAGGCATTTCTTGTGCAGTTAATATTTGTCCAAATAATTGTAGAAAATTTCAGATGTGCAAAAAAAAAATCAATAAATAATGTATGTGAACTATACAAGTTGTGCCGACTGCACACGATGCTTTTTTTTTAATAAAACTTTTTATGAAAGTAAAATTACACTGGCAGACGAATGTTGACACGTCGTCAAACGAAATTATCTATGAAAATTAATCCGATGACTACAGTGCATCTGCCTCTGTTTGTATAGAAGATCTACACAGTAGATGGATCCAGGATTTTGAAAGGGGGCCGCGGGTCCCCAAACAAGACACAATTTGTAGTGGAAGCGGTAAAAAGTCTGAATTAACCATGAATGAAGCTTCATAAGGGGACCTGGGCACCCCCTAAATCCGTTCCTGCACATTTCTTTAGATAATAATAATAAAAACCTACCCCGAGGCTACATGCGTGTAAATCAAACAAGTATGAAAAAACGATTTTTTTTTATACATGACGACTATCTTTAGGCTGCAAAATGGACAGACGTTCCGACAACATTAACTCAGACAAACATATTGTTAACAGAGGAGTAAGGAGTAAGGAGTTCAAAATTGAATAAAATAAGGAAACCACGTCAGCGTATAAATAGACATATTATGAATGACAGTTACGCTTTATTGTATACTTGTCTTATGTAACTAGGGGCCGAGTGGTCTAAGTAGTTACTACTGTAATCACTAGCCAGTCAACACTGAGGTTGTGAGTTCGAACCCCGCTCGTGCGGGTGCACTCGACTCCAATCTTAATTGACTAGGATTGTCAGTTTTCCTATCGAAGGTCGGTGGTTTTCTCCGGGCACTCCAGCTTCCTCCACCAATAAAAACTGGCCGCCACGAAATAGCCCAAAAGCGGTGCTTAAAAGTGGCGTTAAAACACCAAAAATCAAATCAAATCAAATCTTATGTAACTAAGTTTTCTGTACTTTAGTGGAATAAATACACAATTTACTTTTCAACTACGATATTGCAGATCAGCTGATGCTCGATCGTACTGATTTAAAGGTTAACACTTAGTTTGATGTTTGGTTATTTGGGACGACGCTTTCATATTTCGAAAAGTAAGGCTAGTAAACTATTTTATTCCTGGGTGCCAGTTCTTGCTGAAAAACTTAAAGGTTTTACAAACAGCTGCATCCATAGACAAATCACAGCAAAACTTACTATTAAGGGCACTTCTCTATAAACCTCGTCTTAATGGTCCATATATGAAGGAATGTGTGCTTAAAGTATATATTCACTTTAGTCGGATGGTCCAATATACATCCCTAATGTAATACTGTAATTCAGTATTTCACTGTATTATATATATTGGGGACTTATAAAGGAGTCTAATACAGATTCAGGATGAAAATATACGAGACTTCTGTTTTGGGGTGGTGGGGAGGGGGAAATTGGCAAAACACTAAATGACGCTTTTAAAACATAATTCTAATCACTGCTTTTAATTTACACGTTTGTGTCTTTTGTGGTTTAATGACATTCATTTATTTTCAGCACGGGCCGGAGCATGATGTTATACTATGCATACTAGTAGTTTCATGTCAAGTAATTTTTCTACACTTTGAAAAGAAATTGGAATCGAACACCTAATAACTATATGATAACATGGGCCGTGAAAGTTCAAAACTTCTTCGGCACAATTAAATCGCAAAGTTAAGTCTACTGTAACATATGACCCGACGCACTGATAGCATATAGCGCAATTCATGCAGAGACAAAAGTGATTACGAAAACGTTACTCAATTTTGAGCAGTATACGTGAGTCGAATCACAAACAAAAAAAATCGTTTCTGTGAAAAAGTTTATCATCAAACGGTACATGTCTATAGGTATATTTTTTTCAGATGTAAGTAACCCCGCGCCGGAGAAAAGGCGCTGTCGAATATAGGACCGTTGGGTTAGAAGATTGTTGAATTTTAGGACTGCCTCATTATAGGTTTGCATGACTTAAGAAATTTCTATGAGTTTGATAAAATTGCACCTGGTTTTTCTGATATATCACATTCGACCCGCAAGACAATTTATTTTTATTTATGTATGTGTTATAATAATCAATATTATGATTATAATCGATATGTAACCTGGGATTCGTATTCGCAAATATTATGTCCCGGTTCTATTAACGTATCAAATAAAATGAGTTATATTTTAAGGACACAACACCTGGACTGCAATACACTTATAATTTTAATGCCCATTCTTTATCTAATTACTTTATTATTTATTTTGTAATTTTGCCGAGGTCAAGTACGCTTCACATTCGTGTGTTAATGTTAATTATATGCGGTCTGGGAAATAGATGTATATCTTGTTTACATTTTTTTCACGGTTGTAATGGCGATCGTACTACAACGACGCCTAGGAGTCGCGTCACAAACTAAGGCAGATAATTGGAAAAACCTGTCTATATATTAAAAAAAAAAAAAAAAGACAAAAAATGGGCAAAAAAATTATTCGGTGCTTAAATACTTAAACTTATAAAATACAAAAGGGAGCTTACATCAATAGATATTAACAATTCACCCAAGTTTCACGAAAACTGCTAAAAGCATATTTGAGTTATTGTCCAAAAACTTGAAAGTCCCCCTTTTTCAATGAATATAACTCAGAAATATGAAATCTAAAATTTATAAAAATCGAAAGGGAGCTCACGTCAATAGATATATAAACAATTCACCAAAGTTTCATGCAAATTGGGAAAAGCGTTTTTGAGTTAGTATACGACATGTTGACGATGGACGGACAGACAACGGTATACCATAATATGTCCCGTAAACGGGCTTATAAAAATGCTCAATTACACATTACATTCAGTTACTTGAGAAATTGTAATAAATTACAGTCAACTACAATTACATATTTCAAGTACCCCATGTCTGTTAATATGAAACTTTTCATTCTATCATGATATATTAAGGTGGCTTGGGTGTCTTCCTCCATCTTGGATTTTGAAATACCAGATAACAATCGGTCTAGATCTTTAATGAAATGTGCAAATTTCGAGAGTATAAGGTGATTCATATGTAAGACTTTTCAAGCTAATACAGAAAATGACATGTTTTATCATATTTACAGATGTATTTTACAAAAAAACAGAATATTTCTGTTTGATTCAATTTTTTTCAACTTTGTCACATAAGGGGAGACAACTCAAATGTAAGGAGAGATAATTCAGATAAAGTAACTTTTACAATAGAATGTGTTAGGAATTAACCTATTTTATTATGAAGCAAGAAAAGGAGTCCGGTGACCCCATTTTTTCTTTTTTTTATCAGGCGCATATTATTGGAGCTATCTTCTCATGTTTTATCTCAAAATTCTATGGCGTAGTTGTCGTTTTATGACACAAAATTAGGTTTTCCATGCATTATCTATACAAAATCTGACAATTTTGAAGAATCCAAATTATAAAGTCTAAAATAAACAATTTACAAGGCATGGGCTCGATAATATGCATGATATGTATCATCATTTCGGGTGTATTTTAGTCTAGACGCCATCTTATTATCTATTGAGTTCACCTCAAAAGACTGCTGACGGTCATATACATTGTGTAAGCGATATAAACATAAATATAGATATAAATAGATAGCAAACTCGTGCAATTGATTGGATTTTTCTATGTTGGTTTAATTTCATATTATAGGTAAAAAATATATGTTAATCATCTTTTTTTACCCATGTTACCTGTATAACTTTTAATAACTGAACACGCATAATTCATGCGTCATCCATCTCTGGCTAAGGGTTAAATTAAATATCACATGAATACAGATTAAATGAGGTTGAATTATTCACTTGCAAGTGAATAATTCATCTTCAATGTTTCTTTCCTTACTTTGACAAAATAAAGCCATACTAACTGCCTACTACAAGCAAATTATTTTTGCACTATTTCACTTTCATTAATAATTTTAAAGATTGAACAGAAAAACAAAAATCAAATTAAAATTTTTTTATACATCTCGTAGCATCATCATGAAAAAGAAATAGATAAAAATAATTATTAGGTGCCAGTTAAGGTGGGGGGGGGTAGGACCGTTATCGGGACTCCGGGAGTCGGGTGTCTTTAAGCTCGGGAAGTCGGGATTGATACTTTCGGGATCCGGGAATTCTTTTTTCGAATTTCGGGATGTCGGGATTAAAATTTTTTTAAATTCGGGACATCGGGATTCTATGTTTTTAAGCCCGGGATTTCGGGATCAGGACCCCTCCTACCCCCCCCCTCAGTTAAATAACCAAATGCCGAAATGACTTTTGAAAAAAATAGGTGCCGATTTGACTAGGTGCCGATTTGACTTTTTTATATTGATACCGAATTGACCAGGTGCGAATTTGACTTGCACCCCTTTTACTCTCCGATCATTATGACAAGCCGTTGTGGAATTTAATCCCTATTTATCAATATTATCATAGCTTTTTGACAAATTTTGTACGACCCCGTAAAATTGATTTTATAAATAAATTTCCTAAATTATCTACATTTCGCGCTGGGAATATATTGTGGTAAAAAATAGTTTAAGCGGACATAAAATATGCGTTGGTTGCTGAAAATGAATGTAATGACGTGAAAATGTTTACCTCAAAGGGGTTCATCTCTTTCTTGATCTTTCTATAAATTAATCGACTGGTCCTGTAGCGAAGCACTTAACGCTTAATTTGGTATTTCCAAACCAGAAACCAGTCGTAATAACAGGAAACCTTACCTTACCTCTGTATATTTAACCTCCTGTATAGGAGAACCATACCAGTGTGCACTGGCTACGGTTACATGGAAATGTAACAATAATAAATAAATTATTGGAGACTAATTGCCGGAATGCAGGGTTGGGTAAGGAACCGATTAATTACGAATGTAACAATAATGTTTGTGTCTACGGTTACATTGTGTTATTGTTACATTAATGGACTGAAATGTACGCTGGGACTAGTAATATGTAAAGCAAAATTATATCCGGGTGAAATTTGATCCGGAGGAAAAAATGTCACAGTAGTTGTTGTTTTTTTATCCGGAGGAAAATATTCCCCTGGGATATTTTTTCCTTTGCTGTAAAATTCTATCTGGGTAGTTAACTTATTGAATAGTTATTAGAAAAAAAACTTAACCTTTACAAATACTATGAAATAATAAATGAGTGTATTTGAATTAAAGCTAGATTGTTAAAAAATTGGAAAATAATTTTACAAATTATCATTGAAAAAATTTCCTGAAATATTCAAGTAAATATCATTCTTTTAAAAAGAAAATAATCATGAAACATAAGAAAGAAAACCAGAAGTAATTTCAAATATCGTAATTCGCCGTTTCAGAATCTAATGCATCATGGGTAATATTCTTTGGTGTACGCTGCGACGCCATTTTGTTTTTAAGGACGCCCTAACGTTTACAGTAACTGGTACAAGAAAACGTCAATGATAATAGGTTGGACATGTGCCGTTTGCCCAAATACATTCCAGAAATTCACAAAACTTGAGCTTTTTCAGAATTCCAAAAAACAAATTACGAAAAAGTGGTTAAGTGCCTTAAACTTAGAGGAAGAAAACGTAAATACGGCAACAAGAATTTGTTCTTAACATTTTTTCGCTGGTGAAAAAGTTCTGAGAAATGGTATCCCCGACCTGTCAGTTGGCAAACAAATTGGAAAAAAATGTGAACGCGCAAAACTCAAAAGATAGAAAAAAAATCTAAAGTAAAGCTAGATAAACCAGAAGCAGATGATAATTCAACTTTCTTTCACAAATGAATCTCGGTCTCAATTACCTTTACTGCCTTCTGGTGACGCTTGTCAACCAAACCCCACGGCCACGGAAAATGAAATAGAACAGAACAAACTGAAAGAGAAAATACGAGATCTAGAAAAAGCGCTAGAACAAGAAAAAAACATGACTATCTTATCAAATGAAAAACATATGCTCAGTAATAAACTATTCAGATATAACAATTTCAAGAACAGTGATACAAAGATAAAAGAATTAACTGGCTTACCTGATAACCACACATTTGAGATACTATTTACACTATTTGACAAACCTAAACAGTATTGGTCTTATGATAAGAAGAATTTGGATGGAAATTTAGGTAGACAGAGAGCTTTATCAGCACAAGACGAGTTTTATTATGTATTTACTGAGACTACGACAAGACATAAGTGAAACCGTTCTTTCTTCTATGTTCAATATTTCAATATCTTCTGTTTCATGTGTTTTGTCAACATGGGCCTGTCACATCAAATCAATATTTTCAAAAATTAATATGAACCCTACAATGGACGAATAACAGACATTATGTCCCCCTGATATACTTAAAAAATTTCCAAACTGCGTTATGATTTTGGACTGTACAGAATTTGAGGTTGATGAGCCTAGTGAACTTGATAAACAGTCGGTATTTTGGTCCAAATATTGGAGTCGTCATACGGCGAAGGTATTAGTTGGTTGCACTTTTTGGGGGTCTTTATCTTTCATTTCCGACCTGTTCCCTGGGAGCCGAGGTCATACATCAAAGCAACATGGAAGACACTATTTAAAAAGTATTTTATAACCTTGTTTCCACGAGACAATCATTTGTAGTGGTTTTTGTCTTTTAGTGATTTGTAGCGTTTTTTGTCTTTTTATTCTGGGGTAAAGAGATGGCAATTTAAAAGTACAGAATTTGAGGTTGATGAGCCTAGTGAACTTGATAAACAGTCGGTATTTTGGTCCAAATATTGGAGTCGTCATACATGATACGGCGAAGGTATTAGTTGGTTGCACTTTTTGGGGGTCTTTATCTTTCATTTCCGACCTGTTCCCTGGCAGTACAACAGATGTTGAAATGTGCCAAAAGTCAGGCTTGTTAGATAATATTAAATCTGGCGAGGTATACATGGCCGACAAAGGTTTCACCCTTCAGAGACAGTTTCAGGAAAAGGGTGCGCAACTTCTGGTTCCTCCGTTTGCCAATAAAAATAAGAAACAATTCAACCCACAGCAGGTCGAAAAAACAAAGCACATAGCATCTACCCGCATTTTTGTAGAACAGGCGATAGGTAGAATTAAATCGTACAGATTCTTAACCAGGAGAATTCTGATATCTTCGTGATTCACTGATTGGCTTCAATACATATACAAAACATCGCTTACCTTACAAATTTCCAACGTGCATTTGTCACCGCTGCAGATCCATCATCCAATACTTGTCGCTCACCGTAAAGTGCTCATTGAAAAGTTTTGCAAACAGCTTTTAAATGAAAGCGAAGAAAACACAGAGGAAAACATAGAAGCATTTTAGAGCCCATTGTAAATTTAGAAAACGTCTGTGACGGTGACCCCGACATTCCTGAGATTGACGTCAGAGTGTATGACGACGAGCTAGTGCTTGGGTTAGTCGACTTGTTAATTGAAGGGGAGATTGAAGCCGAGGAAGTGTACAGCATATGTTAATCTGCAGATCTCCAATCCGAAAACATTAAAGAGATAAATAATACCTCTAAACTTCACTCTTTGTCTATCATTAGCTAATATTAAGAATGCAATATTCAAACGTTGGTCATAAGAAATAATTACTTGCCAAACAGAGTTAAACTGAAATCTGAATAGCAAACATGTCATGCTAAAATAGACAACAGCAAACAAACAAACAATCAAACATACAAACAATAGCGAAAATTGAAAAAAAAACAATTCATACATAGCAATCAGCAACAGAAAAAGAAAAGATTGGAACAGATAATTATACATTTGATTAAATAATATCTCCATCTATTTTCCCGATGATTTAATTTAGAACTGGACTGAAATTTAGTTATAAATTGTACTGTGATAACGGGGTAACGGCCCGCATTATAGCATCATTTGAAATGCACATTTTTCTCTTAAAAAAAGTTTATGAATATTTGATATATAAAATCAGTCTCATGTGTAGTCATTAAAATTGTTAGAAATGAATAGAGATATTTCAATAATAAAAAAAGATCAGCACCCTCCCTACATTATATACATGCATTGGTTGGTCAGAATGAATATTAAAAAAATTTTGTTTCTTGGTTGGCACGAGAATATATTCAGTTTTACATATAGTTACCTGCAGCGTCATACATGTCACAGTAATTTATTTTTATCCAATTTTGCAATACTGTTTACCTATAATTATGAACCAGCACGTAACCAGTTTGGTGAAAAGTAACAGATGAAACCGCCAGTCGAGTATATGAATAATAGAAATTGATAAAGAATATTTCAATGCAATTAAAATACACAAAAATACAATTTGAAAGAGAATCGTGTTGTTGAAAAAATATTTTTTTCATTCTTGACATATTTTAGTTGCAATATTGTTTGTACACGGCAAATTCTGTCTGACAATTGTAACTTATCAATTGCATCCTGAACACGACTTGTTATTTTGTCTTCAGTTAATGAGGGGTCTGAATTGAATGTTTTGTAATCCCGTTTTGCTTGCATTTTGTTGGCTGGTTTTCCCATACAGATAAGTTTTTATGAAATGTGTAGTCAGCTATACATGTTTTAGGCAACACCGATTTCTTTTTTGGTGGTTTCCATGTGTTTTGTTTTGAAGTGCAAGGGGTATTGTCATTGATATCAATCTTCTTTTCACAATGTAATGATGAGTCCATATGTTTATTCCTTTGAGACCATTCGATAAGCTGATGCAGGACAGCGGATACATGACCGCATGTACCAGATAATCTGAAAACAAACCAAAACATCATCAGGGACTCTGAGCGAATCTTTCTGAAACATGAGGCAGATTTCGGGATGAGGATGTGGCGTCCCCCATATGGAGCTTTATGGAGTTTTAATTATATGTATGATAAATGCATTGACATTTTACAAGTTTAAATTCAAACATTGGTTTGCTAAGGACCCCCCCCCCCCCTTCAAAATCCGGGGTGTTATCAATATTCAGTAATGCATCAGAGAACAGTTTACAGGGCGTATTAATTAAGTTTTACGGAAGTTGAACTGGGTGCAGGGGAGGATCAAGCCATTTTAAAGGGGGTTCCCAAACCAGGATAAAAAAGGGGGGGGGTTCCAACTATGTGTCCCCATTCAAATGTATTAATCGTCCAAAAACTTGAAAAGGGGGGTTCCAACCCCCCTCCCTCTGGATCCGCCACTGGGGTGGGGTATAGTTATATTCCCCTATATCTGACTCATAGAATGTGTCTGCATGTCTTATATATATATATAAAGCAGTTGTTGTGCATTTCTAGAAAAAAAAGTGTACGTGTCCCTGCGATCAGTATTTTGAAAAAGAGGACCCCAAACTAGCAAACCTCAGAAGTTTGTCCCCTCCTTAAATCTGACTCCGGTATAATTATGTTGAACTGCGCCGTCGAGGAACAGTTTCTTTTACCACGAGTGAAAATATTTTGATAGAAGTTTTCCTCATAAAATTCCGTGACAAGTGAAATAAAAAAAAACTTTTATAATTTTGCCACTTTGTGAGTGATACAAGTTGTCTTTCTTCAAGAATTTAGATTTGTGGTCATCTTTTTAACCACTTTAACGACTTTGGTGTTTTTGTTGATTATTAGGTCTTTCCACCTTTCCGTGGAAAGACCTATTGGTTTTCTTCTGATTATTTTTTTTTTCTTCCGCCTAATTTTTTTCTTGCGGTGTATTTTTGTTTCAAAAGT